TTACGAATCAATGCTACAACTTTTTAATGGCGAACTTTATTGACTGCATCCAGTACATTTTGCATTAATTTCATATCCTTAATTTCTATTCATTATTTTGCGATTATACATCCCTTAATCTACTTATCATAATTACCGAAGTTTAAGCGTGTAGAGAGGATGAATGGCCCTACGACTTTTTCTCTTCCTTAATAAATATAACTATTATTCACTTTCCTCATACTGAAAATACAGAAGAAAAAATGCAAACCACTTTTGAGATATTTCTTGGATCTTGACTAGGCTGACCATTCACCAAGAGGTTTACAAGAATAAGTATCCGCGGAAACAAATATTTACACGCAAAAATACGAGCTTGTAGTTTATCCTTAATTCATGCTAATGTGCGGAATTTTGGAGATATTTTGAAACTTTTCTGTAATTTCTAAACGCCACCTTCATACATAATTTATTAGTATGTAGTGCCTAGCCGTAGTAATTTTTAAGTTCCAGTACGTAACATTTAAAACATTAAATAGCGAGCGACTTCCGGGAAAGGACCGTGTCAGTGTTGAACGAAAAGTCAACGTTTCGCCCACTTTCGTAAGTGGGTCAACGGACTTTTCGTTCAACATTGGCACGGTCCTATCCCGAAAGTCGCTCGCATCTTATAATGACTCTGGCCGTGGAAGCCTCCGCTCTAATATTTAAAACAGTTTAAGTAAACAAGGGCACTAAATACGTACTAACCTTTCTCATCCTTCCAATTTTAATCCATTCACGAGCCACTTTACCCGGATAAATTTTACTGACAGTTAATTTTCACGGAAACAGTTGCATTTATAAAAGCACCCCCATGCAATATATTGATCAGTTGAAGAACGCAGAGTTGGCAAGGGTCTACTTCCGTATTCCTCATGTATGAATTGAGGGCTGAGCGGCCACATCCTTGTTTTTACAACTTAATAAATCCAAAGTCGATAGCTTAAGGTTCCTATGGAGTGATTAATTCCATCGATGTTAACGTAGTTCGACCTTAAAGGGACACAGTAGCAATTAGTACGATATCTGCAACCCCGATTTTTTCGGAAATAGAAATAAACTATACAAAGTTTTAGAATTGAAAACTGTAAATTGTTATCTGATATTATTTGTTGAGGTACTTTTATTGATAAAATGCTATCTTTCATCCAATATAGTATAGGTAATGACTTTTTTCTATTTCGGTGTCACAATGATGATTTTGTACAACTGTTTTCGGCCGAAAACAGTTGTACAAAGACAGTGATTATAGTCGTTTTTTTTGGTAACTCATCTCTTAAGTTGGCAGTTACTAGTTAGTACAAGTAGGTACTTCGTTGGGTACTTCCATGTTTGAACTTCAAAATGTCAGTCTTACTACGCTGCCAACCTAAAACTTAACGGCATAAAAAGTGTTCCCAACATAAAACATGTTAGTTCTAATGTTCCCTATAGTTTCTGATAATGATTTTTTTAATTAAATTATTAATTAAAGCACCGAAATAGAAAAAATAGTATGAAAAACGCGTGTTACAATGCTTTATTGTAATACTCCTATCTTGCGGACACTCGTGGCTACGCTTCGCGTCGCCACTCGTGCCACAAGATAGTCGTATTACAATAGGTCGCATTGTAACACTTGTCTTTCAATATACTATTTCCACGATTTCATATCTTGCAATATATTTACAAAATCCACTTTTCCTTATTTGTATGATTCAGTTTCAGGCAAACCGAAATTTAGTAGATCCTTATGTATTTTTCACAGTTTTATCGCCCCGCTTGGCATTTTACCGTATGATAGCTTGCTTTTATAGTTTTTGGAGCTTAAACATTTTCCAGAAACCGCTGAACACAATCCGAAATTGTACTTTGCAACCCAGCACTTCTGATTCGTTATCCATCGGGTACACAGATCCGTTATAATATCCGAAACTGGTTGCAAGCGGTAGCCCAGGGAAATCTTCACCAAGTTACATCAAAATTGATATTTATGCACTGATATTATTAGAAAATCGTCCAAACACATTGCACTAATGACCAATAGTGTATTTTGCTTATTTTCCATTAACATCTCTATTATGAAGGAGAGATGGCATTGCCCGAATAATTTTTCAATTACGGGAAATTTACTCTGCCGTGTAACAGTAACTTTTTTCCTTATTTCAGGAAAACAATAACGATAGTTTGTTTCAAATTCTCTTTAGCTATGCAAATAAAATAACAATCCAAAATTTCCGAACTTTTATAAATTACTATTGCCCTTGTATTGAACAAATTTTTACAGAGCACAAAAATATATGAAAGGTGCCTTAAAATGTACGAACTCCAATCGGTACATCCTAGAAAAACAAGAGAAAAGGAAGTTCTCAAGGTGACAAAGAAAAAAAGCAATTTGAGATACTCGTTCTGTTTACGTACAAAAATAACAAGTTAAAAAGTCATTATGCAAACATCAATGACGAGAGCGTATTTTCCTCCTAATAATATTAATGCTAGGATCGGGGAAAAATACGGTAGGGACGAACTTCTTACCACATTTCTTTTTCAAATGAGCCGCCTACGTCGAAGTCTGTACAGTTTATTGAAAAATAGTGGAGCGTATACAAATATTAAACAGTGCCTACGTATATGATATTTCATTTAAATGCTTTCATAAATAAGAAAGTTGGCATTGCGCAAACGCAAAAAATAGAAACTGATGTTAGATTTGCTTTTATTCCAAGTACCTATGTATCAAATTTCATTTAAATGCTTTCATAAATAAGAAAATTGGCATTGCGCATGGGTTAAATCCAATTGTTGACACTGCACATCCGCAAAACCAAAAAATATCGGTATGCACGGAATCCTTGGACCAAGCCCTCTCAAATTAGCCCCATATCGCCCAAATCGGTTCAGTCGTGTAGACGGACGGACGACAAAATGCAGCCAATAGCGATTTTTCACTTTGAGGGAAATACAAAACCCCTGGAAGTATACAAAAAATATAATCGTATGTCACTTAGCTTTTGAAAGTTTGAAAATTGTTCAGACTAGAAGATGTATATAATAATTAGATCACACCTACACGGACAGTCGCTATTAATTACATTCCAATGATCAAATTTTCTGTGGCCGCTGCTCACTTTTGAGAAGCGGTAACGTAATTATTGGGATAAATGTGAGTACGTTTATTCGGTATTAAGGAACTGCATGATAAGATAAACTATTATATTGTCGTATTAGAAACATTTCCGTAAATAAAACCCCGTACACACTTCTAATCCACTATGCCAAGTATACTTATACAATGTGCATGTTGCGCCATTGCAACCGAATCTATCAAAATGATTATGTGCTGCGTTTGCAAAAAGCATTTTAAACACTCCTGTGTTGGCTTATCAACCAATGACCTTAAGGTCTTAATTAATAAACCAGGTGTATAATAATAATAATAAATTATAATAAATTGTCTTTTATTGGATAGTGGATAAAATATATAAAACATAATAGATGGAAAAGAAAAGATATAATTTTGACACAATCCAATGGGGCGCAGTTCAGATGGGGTACATGACCACACATCTGCTCTTCCACTTAACCCCTCTAATTTAATTAACTAAACAACAAAGTGGAATTAAACTCACTATATAATGATGATGTGAAACGTATGATTAACATAATATGGGACTGACGATTGAACAAAACCGACAAAAGAAAATAATAATAATAAAAAAAACATGTTTCGTGTGTTGTTTAACAACTAAGAATATAGTATTATTGTGAGTACACTTGATGTTTGAAATTTCGAAAGCTTAGTATTTTAAGATTGTTGGATAAGTTGTTGTAAATGTTACTTATATTGTAGCTGTAAGATCTTTTATAGAATTCCGTTTTATGAAATGGTGGAATTATTAATTTATAAAATCTGTTATTCGTACTAAACTGTATTTTATTATAAAGATAGTTAGGTGTTCTGGTTATTATAATTTTATGGAATAGTGTAGCTGCATGAGCATGTCTTCTGCGCTCCATATTCAACCACTTCACTTCCGTGAGTTTGTGAGACACATGCTCATGTTTTTTTATGCCGAATATTAATCGCAAGCAGGAATTTTGCATTTTTTGTATTCTACGAACATCCAGACTATCGAGACAAGGACCATAGACCACATCGCAATAGTTAAATTGTAATAAGACAAGCGATTCACACAAAAGCACTTTTAAATGCCGGCGTAATAAATGTCTATTGTAATAGATTAGCTTAAGATTAGCAAATGCTCTGCGACTAATATCAGTCACATGTTGCTTAAATTGTAAATCACAGTCCATTTGCAATCCCAAGTTCTTAACGCAGTGCTTCGCAGATAGTAGCGTATCATTGATTTTGATGGTAATAGTTTCCATGTGAAGGTTTCTAGGTTTTTTTGGCCCGAACAGCACAAATGATGATTTTTGGGGATTTATACGTAACCCATGTGATTCTGCTATCGTAACTAAAGCTCTGATGTCAGAATTTATATGGTCCGTTGCCCTTACCACCTCTGAAGTCGTAAAATTATGAAGTAGCTGAATATCGTCGGCATACTGGTGAAATTGCACGTGATTAACACTATTTTTAAAGGCCGAAGTATATATAGAGAACAGGAGCGGGCCCAAAACAGATCCCTGAGGTACCCCCGATGTTATTGTTATTGCCGATGAGACACATTCGCCCAAAACCACTTGTTGCCACCTACCTTCAAGAAAACTCTGGGCGACAGCACGAGTAGTGAAACCGACGTGCTTTAATATGCTTATAATAATATCGTGATTTACTGTATCGAAAGCCTTAGAAAAGTCAAGAAGCACTAGCGCTGAAAGATTTCCACGATCTACACTAGTGAATATTTCATCGGTAACATTTAACAGTGCAGTAGTACAGCTGTAACCAGCTCTAAAAGCAGATTGAGTATCCGGTAAAAGAGATTCTTCAACTAAGTATTCGTTTATCCTGGACTTGCCCCGACTGTACGAATATGGGTTCGGACATCACGGATCTGAGAGCTGTTATCGTACAATTGAAGGATGAAGTAGCACAACTTAAAGCTAATTTTGAGTCTAATAAGGCAACCTCTAAAATCGACAGTAATTTATTTGAAGACATCTTACATGAAATTGAGGATCGCCAGAGACGTAAACGCAACATTGTGGTCTTTGGGGCAGATGAATCTACCTTGGGCTCAACAGAAGAGCGGGAATCTGCGGATGCTGGTATAGTCAAGAAAATGCTAACCTGTCTGGGATCTACTCCCGATGAACTCGATAACGTTAAATTATTCCGATTAGGGAAGTTTGATGGTGGCAGACCTAGACCAAGACCAATAAAAGTGATTTTTCCTAATGAGGCAACAGCATATAGTATACTCCGCAAATCTAAGGAATTGAAGAGCAGTCAAGATTTCGGCAATATCTATGTCTCATCGGACAAAACTCGTAGGCAGCTCGATCATCACAGATCGCTAAGAAAAGAATTAAGCGAGAGAATTGAAAAAGGAGAAACCAATCTGAAGATTAAATACGTGAGTGGCTGTCCAATTATTCTTTCGGAAAACTAACTATGCCTAACAGTTTGTCTAATATTAAATGTTATTTTCAAAATGTTCGTGGTCTACGGACAAAGTTAAATTACTGTTATCCAAGAATTGCCTGCGAGGAGTATGATATTCTCTGTCTTGTTGAAACTTGGCTTTCGGAAGATATATTGAGTAGTGAGATCTTCACTAGTGCTTATAATATATACCGTAGCGACCGCAAATTTAATGCGGTAAATAGGTCACGCGGCGGTGGTGTTGTGATGGCTATCATTAACTCTATACATTCCACTGAAGTTGACGTAACATGCTTCTCCGATTTTCCTTTAATTCATTTTAGTCGACTGCGAGCATTAATTAAATCGCAGGTAGCTACAGCTTATAGGTCATACCATGATGTTGTAGAAACTTCGGTATCTACTGACCCAAAACAGTTTTGGAACTATGTTCAACTAAAGAAAGGCACTTCGAGGATTCCTGGTCGAATGCAGTTCGAGGGCAATACGTTGGATAATCCTGCATTAATTGTGAATGGGTTCGCAGATTTTTTCAAAAATTACCACCATCAGCAATGTAGACTGTATTACCATAGGTAAATGACATTTCCCCTAACGAAATTGAGAAGTATATAAAACAACTAAAAAACTCCAAAACGTCTGGCCATGATAATTTAACTAGTTTCCTGATTACAGATTGTGCACCAATCTTTTCAGTGCCACTTACAATAATTTTTAATCTAATCCTAAAAACCTCGACATTCCCTGACATTTGGAAAACTTGTAAAGTGTGTCATGGCTTTGGAAGAGGACGCTCAACAACAACAAATTTAGCATCTTTCACTCAAGATGTAACCTCCGTCTTAGATCAACGTGGACTGTGTGATCTACACAGATATAGCTAAAGCCTTTGATAGAGTCGACCATGGATTACTATTAAAGAAACTGGATTCGATAGGTTTTAGTGACTCTCTCGTTCAGCTATTTACATCATATCTCTCCAACAGATTGCAACAAGTAACGTACAATGGTTTCAAATCTAACAGCTACATCGCGTATCCAGGCGTTCCTCAAGGTTCAAACCTGGGGCCTTCATTATTTACTATTTTCATCAATGATTTGTCAATAAACTTGTGTTTACGGACGACCTTAAAATATATGCATCCGTCTGTTCTCGTGCTGATTGTATATTATTGCAATCTGAGTTAAACAAAATTAACGATTGGTGTACCATAAATAAACTCAACATAAATGTGAATAAATGTAAAGTTGTATCATTCACTCGAAAAAAAGATCCACTTTTGTTCAACTATAAATTGGCTGCAACGGATTTAGTGAGATGTGAATCAGTAAAGGATCTTGGAATTACATTTGACACAAAATTGTCATTTGAAACCCATATTTCGTCAACTGTAAAAAGTGCCATGAAAGTATGTACTAGGATTCTTGTTTAGAAATTGTTCCACATTTAGAAATGTGGGCGCTCTGAATGCTTTGTACTTCGCTTTTGTGAGGTCAAAGCTAGAATACTGCCCATTAATATGGAATCCGTTTTATAAGAAGCACATAAATATTATTGAACAAGTGCAACGTAAATATTTGAAATTTGTGTGTTTCAAAGTGGACGGTATTTATCCCCCTAGAGGATTGAGTCATGAACACCTCCTTGACCATTACGCACTGTTCATCACGTCAGCATAGGGGCTTCATCGCATCATTTAAATTCCTGTACGATATTCTGCACAACAACATAGACTGTTCCAAACTTCTAAATGAAATTAATTGGCATGTGCCTAGATTGACAACTCGAAGAAGTCATACTTTTTCTCTCCCACAAATAAATAGCAACATCAATAGGTCTCCTATGTATGCAATCTGTAATAGCTACAATACTATAAGTTCAATCTGTGACATTACTCACTCATCCTGGAAGAACATCATTCGAACATTGAGTATGTAACGACCGCAACTAACTAATTAATTAAGAATTTTTGTCTGCTTCGAATTACTTTTCTTCTTCTCCTAATTTACGTAAACAACCGTATATGTTTATCTTATATTTTTGTATTTTGTATGTAATTAACTTCATATTGTGATTTGTCCTTTAATTGGATATTCTGTTGGGAAATAAAGCATTATTATTATTATTATTATTATTATTATTATTATTATTATTNTACATACAGTGAATTTTTTTTAAATGCGAACATAGGAGTTAGCATGCAATGTTTCCCTATGTTCGATTTTTAAAAAAACACATCAATCTATTGAGTAGTTCAAATGAGTAGTAGATACAATTGACAGCTGTCACATTTTCAAAAATACGGCCGTCCAATTTAATTACGAAATCGGTTAGGTTATTGCTTAGAATGCCAAGGAGGACACTTCCAACATTTATTGTAATTGTTTTCGGTATTTATTTTCTTATTTTCTTCATTTATGTATTGAATAAATCAAATTAGTAGAATACTAGGTGCACATGACCTACAAATAATTGAAGGTTGGTTCACAATGAATTGCGATGTCAGCGCGTGCCATGTGAAGTCAAGTTATCGTAAGTTTAAGAAAAATTTATCCTAAAGTTGCTATGGCCTCACACGGCTTATTTAAAAAAATCTTACCTAGTGCTCTTCATCATAAAGACTATCAGTTGCTGTTCATAGTCACACAAGTTGTACGATTTGGGAATGTGAACCGCGCACACCTCATAGATTGATGTGTTTTTTTAAAAATCGAACATAGGCAAATTACATTGCATGCAAACTCCTATGTTCGTATTTTAAAAAAATTCACTGTATAGTTACAATACTATAAGTTCAATCTGTGACATTACTCACTCATCCTGGAACCATTCGAACATTGAGTATGTAACGACCGCAACTAACTAATTAATTAAGAATTTTTGTCTGCTTCGAATTACTTATTTGTTCTCCTAATTTACTTAAACCACCGTATATGTTTATCTTATATTTTTGTATTTTGTATGTAATTAACTTCATATTGTGATTTGTCCTTTAATTGGATATTCTGTGGGGCAATAAAGCATTATTATTATTTTAAATATAAACATCATATGTTATGTGTATAATTAAAGTATATTAACGACCATATTGACCTTCAACAATATTGTAGGCATCATTAAAGTTGAATATGCAAACAGGTAGGAAATTAAAGTTTCTCTGCCTTTATTTCGATGAGCGGTGTTAAAACTTCGGTCGTCGTCGTTGCAAATGCCACTAACATAAAATAGTTGTCATACTTCAATCTTAATCACAAATCTACTGGAATCCCCCCTGAACGAAACATGTTAAACCTTTCGGCCAATGGACTGTAAGCCACTTTTGTGCACAAAATAATAGGAAAAGCGGCAGAATCAGAAATGAAAACTTTACTGAGCCCTTTCAATGAAATTGCGTTTTCGCTTTGAGTGGCAATAATGAAATACCGGTATGACAGACATAATTTTCATTTTGGAGACCGTTAGTGAAATTTCCGCTTTCTGAAATTTCGTCAAATCCCAAAGCTTCTTTACGCATTCACGACATCGCAAGAACCATTCTCACAATTTAAGTAATTATTATTATTATTATTATACGGTTAATATACGAAAATATGCTCTGTGTTTATTTAACTACACACAAGGGCAAAGACAGAGCGTCGGTGTCACATTATCAAAACCCACTTCTTGGCGTATGAATTCGGAAATTTGGATACGGAATTTACTATATCAGCTCTCTGCATTTATATCATCCCTCTACACCAAAGTTCCACGTTAACGATTCCCGTGTAAATGTTTTCAAAAAACAAAAGCCGAAATATCGGTTACATTATCCACACTCTTGGGTGAAATTGTATACTTACTTGAAGTAATAAGTGTTGTTGTTGTATCCAAAAAAAGGAACAGTATACGTGAGCATCCAAATGTTACCGCCGCCGCAATCGTAATACGGTTTAGACCATTTTCCGTCTTCGTATCGAACGGATAAGATTTCATCGGGAACTCTCTCGGTATGTGCAGTTTCATTGTACGTGTAGGTGTTGTAGCCTGAAAAAGAATGTTGATATATTAAAATCATTCGATAGCATTCGACAGGAATGGAGCAATAACGATTAAATTACAATTTACTTTCTATAAAGCGTCGGTAAAGCAATTTATTCAAATTTATTTTATGGAAATGTATATAAATTTGCTTTCCGTATTTCTATTTTTCGCAGCTTATTTATATGTATTTTCGATATCGAATAGTGGGGAGATCAGTATATTGTATTTACAAAATCTTATATAAAAGTCGAACATGACGAGCGCAAATTGTTCGTAATAAATATTTTCACTTTATTTTCCCTTTATTACAGAATTACAGTTTGTTCGTCCCTATCTAAATAATAAATATAATCCGAACTGTATTTCTGTACATAATAATAATAATAATAAATACGACCTCAGGAACAAAGAAACACCATAAATACAATTAAAAAACACAAAACTCCTTCTTCACAGAAACACACCACGTTATCACAACCCACTCGTATTCAACCGAAACGCGAAAACCTTAACAGAACTACACGCTCACAACATACTGTAATATCTCCACCAAAAACCCAAGCAACCACACAAATACAACCTCAAGAACAAAGAAACACCATAAATACAAGTAACGCAACATGCACTACAAAGACATGTTCCACCTCCAATAAGTTACACGCCCTGAGCACAATTAAAAAACACATAACTCCTTCTTCACCGAAGGCACCACCACGTTATCACAACCCACTCGTATTCAACCAAAACGCGATAACCCTATTTACAGCACTACTAGCTTTCACAAAAATATGTAATATCTCCTCAATAAACCCAAGCAACCTCACAAATACAAACCTCAAGAGCAAAAGAAACACCCATAAACACAAGTAACGAGCAACATGTTACTACAAAACAGGTCCATCCAATTAAAGTTTACACGCCTTAGGCACCAGTTTAAAAAAAACACAATACTCCTTCTTCTCAGAAACAACCCACTCGTATTACAA